TGCAAACTCAGGATGGCTAAAAATGGCTCTTAAGTCTCCTACCATCTTCCAAAACTGGCTCCCTCGTGACTTTTTTCCTTTATTCGTGGAGAGTCAGACTTGAGTTTGAAAGTTGGCTCTGCCATCCACTTGCTATGTAGTCTCTTTAAGCATCAGTTTCCTTCTCTGTAGTTTAGAGCTAATAGCCATCGGAATGGGTTATTATAAGGATTAAACAAAACAGTGAATCTAAATCAGGTTGGCAGGTTGGGAACGGTTGCTCACGCCTGTAATCCTAGCACTGTGGGAGGCTGAGGTGGGAGGATCACTTGAGGTCAGGACTTGGAGGCCAGCCTTAGCAACATAGGGAGACCCCGTCTCTACAAAAAATTTAAAAATTAGTCTGTAACTTGAATGCAGCAATCAGGTGGAGCCACACTCTGTAAACTCTGTAAAGGTGAGCAGGAGGGGCCTGCGGGGAGAGGGCTGAGCCAGCACACCCAGCACTGGGCCACCTTTGGAGTTGGGTGATTCCTGCCAAAAAGACCCTTGGTCTGGTTGGCTTTCTAATATACCAGTAGTATTCTGATTTACTTATTTATTGAGTTGGCACATAAAAATTGTATATATTTATGTTGTACAACATGCTTTTTTGGTATATGTATATACCATATATGTACCATACATTTCTGAATGGTAAAATCAAGCTGACATACACATTAATTCATATATCATTTTTTTTGGTGGGAAGAACACCTAAACTCTACTCTCTTAGAAATTCCCAGGTATACAATATACATTGTTATTAACTATGGTCAATATGAGGAACAATAGATCTCTTGAATTTAATCCTCCTCACTAAAACTTCGTATCCTTTGACCAACATCTTCCCACTCTCCTCCTCCCCCAGTCCCTGGTAACCACCATTCTACTTTCTGATTCTCTAAGTTTGACTTTTTTCAATTCCATATATAAATATCTTTCTGTGCCTGGCTTATTTCACTTAGCATCATGTCCTCCAGGTTCAACCATGTTTCCACAAATGACAGGGCTTCCTTTTTGTAAAGGTGGAATAATATTCCATTGTGTATATAGACATTTTCTTTATCCACTCATTGTGGCTATTGTGAATAACACTGCAGTGAACATGGCAGTGCAGATATCTCTTCTACACACTGATTTCATTTCCTTTGGATATAGACCCAGTATGGGATTGCTGGATCATATGGTAGTTCTATTTTTAGTTTTCTGAGGAACCTCCATACTGTTTTCCAAGTAATACTCTTTTAAACATTTAAAGCTGCAAGGAAAATGTTTCAGAAGCCTACTTTAAGGGCTACCATGAGTCCATGTGTGCCTTTGTGTGAATTAGAAAATGTACCCCTTCCTTTTGACACTTAATTGTTATAATGATAAATACACTGCTTTTGTTAGAATGAGGGAGGCAGGGTTTACCCACCAGAGGCCCTGGTACCTCCTTACCACCACCTTTGGGACCCACAGGCAGAGATGGAGTTGGTCCAGCATATTGGTATCCCTGCCAGTAAGGTCATCTACACCAACCCCTGTAAGCAAATCGCACAGATCAAGTATGCTGCCAAGCATGGGATCCGGCTGCTGAGCTTTGACAACGAGATGGAGCTGGCAAAGGTGGTAAAAAGCCACCCCAGTGCCCAGTAAGCTGGGAACCACTTGTGTGGGGAGGTCCGGCCGGTGGGTGAGGGTGGAGGGGGTGGACGAGTGGGACTGGGGCAGAGGACCCTGACCTGGCCCTGGTCTCAGGAGGTTGGGTCAGGTCCTCCTGGACTAGGTCCATGGTATTATGGAGGTCAAAGTCACAGGCGTGAGAGAGCCAGAGGGAGTGGTCGGGAAAGCTTCATGGAGGAGGTCGCATTTGAAGTTGTCCTTGAGGAAGGAATAGAATTTGGGTGGGGGGCAAAAATAGTGACCTGCATAAGTAAACGCAAACCCTAATAGCATGGGGTGTTCGAGGGACAAGGAGAAGTTCAGTGTGGCTGGAATATGCCACATGAAAGGAATGAAGGAGACAGTGAATGACACTGGTCACAGGGCAGGGGCTTTGGAAGGGGTCAGGGCTGGTGTAGCTTTTACATGGTTACTGGATACCCCGAGGATTTCAGGGAAGGGCCTTGGGGTGAAAGGGAGGCCAGGTGGTGGATCATTCCTGTTCACCCAAAGCAGCTTCCATCATGATATTGGGGTTCTCCCTTAAGACACTGTTTAAAAATGGCTCCTCTCATACATGAAAAGTTGAAAACTCTGACTGGTATAGAGGCTGATTTGGAGGGATTGGAGCTGCCCAGAGGAGAGTCGGTGAGGCCTGGACCAGGGCAGGGGCTGCAGGGATGGGCCCAGGGATGTTTAGGGAATGGATTGGACAGGACTTGGAGGTTGATTGGCTGTGCAGGGAGAGGAAGGGGTCAGGGAGACTGTGGGGTTGGCAGCTCTGAGCCACGCAGTTCATAGCCCTTGATTCAGAGAGGGCTGGTTGGCGTGGGGAGGCAGGTTTACCCATACATGTCTCATCAGGATGGTTCTGTGCATTGCCACCGATGACTCCCACTCCCTGAGCCGCCTGAGCCTCAAGTTTGGCGCGTCACTGGAATCCTGCAGACACCTGCTTGAAAATGCCAAGAGGAGCCACGTGGAGGTGGTGGGTGTGAGGTGAGCACTGGGAACCCCTGCCGTTCCCACCCACGCCAGCCCATTGCCTCTTTCCCGGGACTGAATCAGTTCTGTATGAGACCTTCCCCAGGGCCTCCAACCAGGGCCTGTCCTTGGGCCTGGAATTCTGCCATTTGAGAATTTCCTCTGTTTGGAAAGAAGGTTTAGAATGGCTCCTACCCCCACAGTCTCTAGCAGGTCTTGTCCCAGCAAGTTCTACCCAGGGACCTGGCTTTGAGGGAGTTTTCCCAGCCTGTAGGACAAGGACTGTGCAGCCACATCCTTGATGTGCCTCTTTTCTTACAGGGACGTGGAAGAAATAATAATAATGACCTAATACATAGCTTCATTTCTTCTGTATTCAGGATGTGTCAGGCGCTGTGCTAAGTGCTTCATGTACATTATCTCACTTCCTAGTGTGGCCTGGGTCTTATCCTCACATTGTAGGTGGGGAAACTAAAACAAGACAGGCTGAGTACTTTGATAAGGCCATACTGCTGAGAGGCATATCCAGATCTGGCCAACTTTCTGGCCCTGGCTCTAATTCCAGAAAGTTCATCTCCAGGGGCAGCATGAAGAGATGAGAGGAGCACCAAGTGCTGAGAGACCTTGGATCTAGCCTCCTGTCCACTCCTCACTTGCTGTGTGGCCCTTGAAAACCCATTTAATGTTTCAGGCCCTCCGTTACTGCATCTGTAAAATGGGCAGTGTCCCATGTGCCCGCCCAAGGTCACTCCTGGCTGGGGCTGAGGTGGTGGCACCCAGGGCTCTGCACGTAAGCTAAGGCTCTTCCTCCCTTCTCAGTTTTCACATTGGCAGTGGCTGTCCCGACCCTCAAGCGTATGCTCGGTCCATCGCAGACGCCCGGCTTGTGTTTGAAATGGGCACCGAGCTGGGCCACAGGATGCACATCCTGGACCTTGGCGGCGGCTTCCCTGGCATGGAGGGGGACAAAGTGAGATTCGAAGAGGTAACCCTGGAGCCAGGAGTATGGTGCTGTGTGGGTGTAGGGGGTGGGGGTGGAGGGTGTGGTGCTCACAGGAAGCCCACTGGCAGTGGATCCTATGTACCACATGCTGTGCTTGGTGCTTGCCCTGCGCTAAGTAGGCCGAGGCTCACAGAGGCTACAGCACTTCCTGAGTCCACAACAGAGCTGGCTGCACACCTGGCTCTATTTGAGGCTCAACCAGGATATATTTGCATAAGTCATAAAGCCCTTTAAGGGTCTGGGTATGTCTATTCTCATAAAGAAAATCAGGTGAAAAGGCAGGGGAAGGAAAAATGAACTTCGGTCCACTCCCAGTTTAGTTCATTCTCTTCCATTCTGTCTCCTTCCCACCTGAGAGTTGATATCAAGAAAAATGTGTCCCAGCACTTTCTATTCAAACCACTAGAGGTCGCTTCTCCTTAGAAAGAGCCTCCTTCCGGAATATTCATACCTAGGAATTGACCCTAAGGAAATTTGGATGGACAGAAAGAATTTGCCTCAAAGATGATTGTTGTGACTTTGCTCATAACAGAAGTCCAGTGACTTCCCTGGTCCACATAATACTCAGGATTGGTTAAATTACGATTCATTATGTGATGGAAACATTTATTTACGTGGGGAGGTCATTCAATTTAATCTATTGATTAAAACATGTAAAAACATACATAGAGACTTACTGTGTTTATAATAAAAATGGTGTTTGTATAAGAAATAATTAAAGGAGCTACTCCAAAGAATTAGGGGTCACTTTTATCTTATTTTCCTTTTCTATATTTTCTAAAGTTTCTGTAACCAAATATATTACAGTTGACTATTTTTTTTTTTGAGACAGAGTCTCGCTCTGTTGCCCAGGCTAGAGTGCTGTGGTGTCGGCCTAGCTCACAGCAACATCAAATTCCTGGGCTCAAGCAATCCTACTGCCTCAGCCTCCCAAGTAGCTGGGACTACAGGCATGCACCACCATGCCCAGCTAATTTTTTCTATATATTTTTAGTTGGCCAATTAATTTCTTTCTATTTTTTTAGTAGAGACGGGGTCTTGCTCTTGCTTAGGCTGGTTTTGAACTCCTGACCTCGAGCGATCCGCCCACCTTGGCCTCCCAGAGTGCCAGGATTACAGGCGTGAGCCACCGTGCCCGGCCAACAGCTGCCTCTTGAACCATATGGGGCTGAGGGGTACCCACCCCCAGTGCAGTAAAAAATCTGCGTGTCACTTTTGACTCCCCCAAGACTTGACTACTAATAGCCCACTGTTGATCGAAGCCTTACTGACAACATAAACAGTTGATTAACACAAATTTTGATGTTATTTGTATTATATACTGTATTTTCACAATAAACTAGAGAAAAGAAAATATTAATATTAAGAAAATCATAAGGAAAATATATTTACAGTTCATTTAGTGGAATTGGATCATCATAAAGGTGTTCATCCTCATCGTCTTAACGTTGAGTAGGCTGAGGAGGAGGAGCAGGAGGAGCAGGAGGGGTTGGTCTTGCTGTCTCAGGGATGGCAGAGGTGGAAGAAAATCTGTGTATAAGTGGACTCACACAGTTCAAGCTTGTGTGGTTCAAGGGTCAGTTGTATTCAACAAATTGGTTATTTATGAAAGAAAGATCCACATCAGGGCTTCTAGAACCTGAGTACCAAGTGTGATATGAAGCGTGCCCCTTCCCATTGTGGGGGCATTGAGGAGGGTGATGTACACAAGCATGAGGGTCTCGACCCTACCTTCTTGGTCAGCTGTCTGCAGTTACCGGCTGGGGCTGTAGCAGCTTCCAAGTCCTTCTTCCTGAAATCAAAGAAGCTTTCAAGATAGATTTGGAGCTGTAGCAAGTCTTCAGCATAACCCCCACATCTCAAACACATGATTTATTTATTTATTTTTGAGACAGTCTCGCTTTGTTGCCCAGGCTAGAGTGAGTGCCGTGGCATCAGCCTAGCTCACAGAAACCTCAAACTCTTGGGCTCAAGTAATCCTACTGCCTCAGCCTCCTGAATAGCTGGGACTACAGGCATGTGCCACCATGTCTGGCTAATTTTTTTCTATATATATCAGTTGGCCAATTAATTTATTTCTATTTATAGTAGAGATGGGGGTCTCGCTCTTGCTCAGGCTGGTTTTGAACTCCTGACCTCGAGCAATCCTCCCACCTCGGCCTCCCAGACTGCTAGGATTACAGGCGTGAGCCACCGCGCCCGGCCTCAAACACATGATTGTTCCCCACCTCACTCTCACCAGATTGCTTCTGTGATCAACTCAGCCTTGGACCTGTACTTCCCAGAGGGCTGTGGCGTGGACATCCTTGCTGAGCTGGGGCGCTACTACGTGACCTCAGCCTTCACCATGGCAGTCAGCATCATTGCCAAGAAGGAGGCTCTTCTGGACCAGCCCAGCAGGGAGGGTAGGTGCCAGATGGGCAGCAGAGCTCCATTCTCCCCCGAAGCTGGGGACAGTTGATGGCCAAGCAGGGTTTGGTTTTAGACTCAGTGGCAGGGGGTGAGGGAATGTGGAGAATGGGTCTTTGCTTTAGGGAAACTTACAATCAAATTCTCTCACCCCAAGACACTTATTTAGAATCTTTTTTCCTAGGTATATTCATATTTTGTGATGATTGAGATCAAAACAACCTTAGGGAGAATATATACATTATTGATCCTATTTTATAGATGAAGAAACTGAAAGCCAAAGAGAATACAAGTGAATTGCTTAATAGCTAGTAAGAGCTAACGCCTGCATTTGACCCCATGTCTGTCTCCAAAATACAGGCTCTTACTCACCTTACGGCTTCTCATAATGTAATGAAAATAATTAATGACAACTTATGGTTGTTTAAGTCTACTCTATAGATGACAGAACATAGGCAGCGTGAGGTTGAGTCACTAGCCCAAGGTCACACAGCTGATCAGGGGCAGTGCTGGGATTCAAGTTCATGTCAGGCTGACTTGGTTCAGAGCTCCTCGGCCCACATTGCTAACATCAAAGTTCTTCCCTGCCCTTCCAGATAGATCAGTCCTCCCAGTGTCCCTGTGAATGAGAGGGGTGAGGGACTGTGATCTTGGGGCTTTGCTCTCTGCCCTGGGACCCTCAGACATGAGGGCCTCAGGACTGTGTGCCCCTCTTCAGAGAGAATTCATGTGGAGGGGAGGTGGACTCCAGAAAGAATGTCCTCTGTGTGTGTGTGTGTGTGTGTGTGTGTGTGTGTGTAGGAAATGGCATTCTTCTGGCTTCCTTTATAGACCTGAGGATTGTCCCATCTAGTCCAACCAGGAGACCTGACTTCTCATTCCAGCTCCTCCACTGCCCTATCATGTGCCTCTGAGCGAGTGGCCTAACCTCTTGGGGTCTCAAGTTTGGGTGGGCTGTTTTTCTGCCATGGCTGGGACATCTAGGGGCTCAGATGCAGGCTGGGGAGTGTGTTCTGGGCAGGGTTGCTCCATTGCAAGGGTGAGTGTTCCTAACACGGCAGTGAGCCCATGCCATCAGGATGACTGTTGGTGGCTCCTGTTGCAGGGTCCATTGTGGGGCTGAGGAAGGGGCAAGCCTTTTGCTTGATAGACTGTCATCCTTGCTGAGCCTACTGTCGTGCCAGCTCCCCACTATCATCCCCTCACACTGCTGCTTGTGCTGCCCTGCCCCCTCCCCTCCCTGCAGAGGAAAACGGTTCCGCCCCCAAGACCATCGTGTACCACCTTGATGAGGGCGTGTATGGGATCTTCAACTCAGTCCTGTTTGACAACATCTGCCCTACCCCCATCCTGCAGAAGGTGAGCCTACCCCATGTGGGCCTGTTTTCAATTGTGTATTTTTTTCAATAACATTTGTTGTGTTTTAATTAAATTTTTAAACAGCAAAACACATTCATTGTAGAAAATAGACAACGATGAAGGTTACCTCCCATAATCCCACCACAGAGATATACTCTGTGAACATTATATTTATTTTCATTCTTTTAAAAATGTATTATACTTTTTTTCATAAAGTTGGGATCATATTCTTTTATAACCTGCTTTTTTCATTTATATGGGGTATAGCTATTTCCATGCCATGAACTAATTTTTGACAACATGCTTTTTGGTGACTACATAGTATTTTAACCAATCTAACTCTAGTGGTTGGCCATTTGGTTTCCTGTTTTTGAGCACTGTGAATATATGTTGACATACGTCTCTGATTACTGCTCTGGGGTAAATTCCTCGAAGTAAAAATAAACGGTTCATGTGTAATGGGTTTTTCTACATTAACAGGGGAGTAGGAATGGACAAAACATTCCTCCTAGCTGGTAGAGCCCAGCCAGGGCCTCCAGCAGCTTTAAAAGGCATCTTTAAGAAAAGAAAGAAAACCAGACATACCATTGTATTTTCTATCTTTAGACCTTTGTTTGTGTGGCTTTTCTTCCCAGGAGGAAACTTTCTGGAAAGTGCCTAGCCAGCACCCTTGTGAGTGCTCAGTATATTTTTTCCCTCCCTTCCTATCCCAGCCACTGTCCAATTGCAGATCAGATGGGTCTGTAAAGTCAGCTCCTCTTTGTGGCTCTCCCTGCCCCTTATCCCACTGCTGGCAGAGGGAACCCTCCCGGTGCTCAGGCGCCCAGGCACGGTGGACATGTGTGAAGGCCTCATTCCATAATGAAGTATGGTTACATCCACCGGGCTGAGTAAACTTCCCTGATGTGTTGTGGAATTCAGAGTTTTCTGCCCTGACACACAGCGTTGCCTGCATTCTTGTGGCAGCCCACATCCTACTGCACAGAGAAGGGACCGGGCCAGCCTGAGCCAGCCAAGCCCAGGATATAGAGCAGGCGGCAGCTGCTTCCTGGTTCCTCCCCCTCATCCTGTTGCATGCCTGGTTTCATCCATTCTCCATTTCCTTGTGGCTCCTCAGAAGAGCAGAACTATGGGCCCAGCCCACTACCATACCCCCCAACCCCCAACCCCAGGATCTCTACTTTAACTTATCTCTACTTGGCATTCCTGACTTGGGCACCAGCATGTTACGTTCTCTCTTTGTGGTCTGTGCTGTTCCTTCTTTGGATGATGCCATGGTTTCTTCCTTTAGGCTGTCAATCACTCTCTGACTCTGGCGACATAAGCGGGTCCAGGGTGGGACCTACAGTCTGGTGGTGGAGAGAGACATTTCATAGATGACAATGACATAACAAATTAGCTCCAGTTGTGCTGGGAGTGTGTCGCCTGGCTAGGGGTATCTACACCTTCGTCCCCAAGGAAGGTCCCCCTCATGAGTGGTTATAGTAGCTTTGCATCCCTGCTCTTCCCTCCCAGGGAGTTTGTTTTTAGACCTCAGGTATCAAAAATTATATTAAACATAATCCTTGGCTCAAGATATATTTCTTATCATTGCACCACACTTGGCCCTTTCTTGTTTGTATTTTTTAAATTCAACAACTATTTGAGTATCCTCAATATAGAAAGCACCATGCTGAGGCCTGCAGAGGATAGTAGGTGAGTAAGAATTATCTGTGCTTTGGAAATACAGTACTGGTGGATAGAAACGTGTGTGTGTGTGTGTGTGTGTGATTAGTACACAAACTTCAACCATGTCATGAGAAAAGTACAGAATAAAAATTACTGGATTTTTTTCAAGAATATTTTAATACTGTATATATATCTAAAAGTTAAAGACTTTGAAAAAAAATCACAATTCCATTATCTACTTTAAAAAGTAACAATTCCATAGCATCCTCCATTATCTGTGTTCCGATATCCCCAATTGTCTCATAAGAGATTTTAATAGTTGATTTGCTGAAATCAGAAGCCAAAGAAGGTCCACAAAATGCACTTGCTTGGCATGTTCCTCTTAACCTACTGGTTTCCCCACACTATTTTTAAATCGTTAATTTTTTTTGGTAACTTATTTGTTGATGAAACTGAGTTGTTTGTCCTGTGGAGTTTCCTGCATTCCAGATTTTTCTGATTGGTGAATTTCCTGGATTTCCTCTTGGAGCTCTTGAATGTGCTTCTCTGTGCCCAGTATTTTTTTTGAAATTAGGCAGATTTAGCAGTTTGAATAGATTTTCAGTTTCAGAATAAAAGCACCTCCTGGGAGGTGTTGTTGTTATTTTCTTTCTAGTATAATGAGCATCCTCATCATTTTACCACCCCATCTCTGTTACCTGTGCAGAGACCACTCTCTTGACCTGTGCATGATCATTCTCTTGCTTTCTTTTTTAAATACAGATTTATCACATCCAAGTCTATTCCCAAAATGTATTTGAAATTTATTATACTTGTTTTGTTTTACTTTATAAAAAAAGATACTTTGATGTATGTAATCATTTTGGGCTTTTTCTCCTTTAATATCACAGTCTAAGGTTCATCAATACTGCTGCATGTCTCTAGAGTCCATTCATTTCACTGCTGTGTAACACTCTTTTGGTGAGTATGTCACAGTTTATTTGTCCATCCTGCTCTCAAGGCATTTGAATTGTCTCTGGGTTTTTGCTAGTGTGAATACTGCCAGTGTGAATTCTGGTTCCTACCTCTGTGACACTTAGCAAGGAGAGGAATGGCTGGGGATAGGGCGTGGAATGTTCAGCTTCATGAGACAGTGCCAAACAGTTTTCTGAAGTGGTTGTACTAACTGATAATCCCCCCAGCAGTGTATAAGACACCCAGTGGATCTACATTTTCCCCAGCACTTGGTATGTCAGACTAAAAACATTTTCTCAATAGAATGAATCTAAAATGGTATCTCATTGTGTCTTGGTTTGCATTTCCCTGATCACTAGCAAAGTAGGACACCTCTTTGTATAGTTACTGCCATACACATTTCCTCTTCTTCCAGCGACTTTGTAAGTTGGCCATGCCCTTCACATCCAGAAGGTCTCCACTGAGTGTCTGCACTCACTGCCCCAGCTCATATGGCTCTATGTGCTCTTCTGACTTCTCCAATCTGGTATCTGTCCCATAACTCCATGGAAGGTGCTACTGAAAGTCACTTCCATGCTGCTGGCTCTTCCATGTGGCTCTTCTGTCCTCAGCAGCCAGTCTTCCTCCATCTTCACACTTGCCTCTTTGGCTTCCGTGGCAACATCCCAGGTTTTGCCTACTCCTCTGCTGTTCCCACCTTGTCTCTCTGGCACTTCTTCTACCTCTCACCTTCCAAGTGTTGACTGTTGCAGGCCTCAGTCCTTGATTCCTAGGTGAATGCTTCCAGACTGAAGTTTTCAATATCGTCTTTACTCTCATCACTTCCAAATTTATATTTCTATCCTGGATTGCACCCCTGCACTCCAGACTTGTATATCCAACTACCCGCTTGACATTTCTACTGGGATCTCACAGGCAACTCAAATTTAACTTGTTTGGAACTGAATTCTTGGTTTTCAACCCCACACTACTCTCAGTAAATAGCACCAACACTAGCCAACTGTTTAAGCTAAAAAGTTGACATTATTCTTTTTTTTTTTTTTCAGACAGAGTCTTGCTTTGTTGCCCAGGCTAGAGTGAGTGCAGTAGCGTAAGCCTAACTCACAGCAACCTCAAACTCCTGGGCTCAAGCGATTCTACTGCTTCAGACTCCTGAATAGCTGGGACTACAGGCATGTGCCACCATGCCCGGCTAATTTTTTTATATATATATCAGTTGGCCAATTAATTTCTTTCTATTTATAGTAGAGACAGGGTCTCGCTCTTGCTCAGACTGGTTTTGAACTCCTGACCTCGAGCAATCTGCCTCGGCCTCCCAGAGAGCTAGGATTACAGGCGTGAGCCACCACGCCCGGCCAGGCATTATTATTTTTTTTTTTTTGAGACAGAGTCCTCACTTTGTTGCCCAGGCTAGAATGAGTGCCGTGGCGTCAGTCTAGCTCACAGCAACCTCAATCTCCGGGGCTCAGCGATCCTGCTGCCTCAGCCTCCTGAGTAGCTGGGACTACAGGCATGCGCCACCATGCCCGGCTAATTTTTTTTTTTTTTTTTTTGAGACAGAGTCTCACTTTTGTTGCCCTGGCTAGAGTGAGTGCCGTGGCATCAGCCTAGCTCACAGCAACCTCAAACTCCTCCTGGGCTCAAGCGATCCTCCTGCCTCAGCCTCCCAAGTAGCTGGGACTACAGGCATGCACCACCATGCCCGGCTAATTTTTTGTGTATATATTTTTAGTTGGTCAATTAATTTCTTTCTATTTTTAATAGAGACGGGGTCTCACTCAGGCTGGTTTCGAACTCCCGACCTCGAGCAATCCGCCCGCCTCGGCCTCCCAGAGTGCTAGGATTACAGGCGTGAGCCACCGTGCCTGGCCTAATTTTTTTTTTTTTGTATATATTTTTAGTTGGTCAATTAATTTATTTCTATTTTTGGTAGAGACAGGGTCTCTCGCTCAGGCTGGTTTCGAACTGACCTTGAGCAATCGCCCCCTCGCCTCCCAAAGTGCTAGGATTACAAGCATGAGCCACCACGCCCAGCCTCAGGCATTATTCTTTATTCTTGCTTTCCTCTCTTCTCACATGCAGTTCTCCTGCAATTCTTTTTTTTTTTTTTGAGACAGGGTCTCACTCTGTCACCTGGGCTAGAGTGCAGTGGTGTCATCATAGCTCACTGCAACCTCAAACTCCTGGGCTTAAGTGATCCTCCCACCTCAGCCTCCTGAGTAGCTGGAGCTACAGGCGTGCCACCACACCCAGCTAGTTTTTCCGTTTTTTATAGAGGCTGGGTCTCACTATTGCTAAGGCTGGTCTCCAACTCCTGGGCTCAAGCGATCCTCCTGCCTCGGCCTCCTAAAGTGTTTGGATTACAGGCGCGAGCCACCATGCCTGGCCTCATCTGCAATTCTTGAATTTAGTCCCCAAATACATCTTGAATTCATCTAATTCTTTCTCTGCCACCACCCTAATGCAAGCCACCATCACCTCCTGTCTGGGCTATTGCAGTAACTACTAACTGGTCTTCTGGCCCCTACTCCTGCCTTTTTACTGTCCATTCATCACATGGCAGACAAGACCATCCTTTAAAAATCCAAAGATCGTGTTCCGCCTCTGCTTAACACCTTCTGTGGCTTCCCACTGCTCTCAGAATATAATCTAGAGCCGGCATGGTGGTGTGCACCTGTAGTCCAGCTACACAGGAGGCTGGGGAGGGAGGCTAGCTTGAGCCCAGGAGTTCAAGATCTGCCTGGGTAACATAGCAAGGCCCCATCTCTCTCTAAAAAAAAAAAGAATCCAGACTCCTCACCACAGTTAGTAAGGTTCTTGCCCATCTTTCCAGCTGCCTCTGTCCTTACCCCTCCCCCTCGCTCACCTGCTCCAGCCTCACTGGCCTCCTTTCCTGGAACACATAAGCTCTTTTGACTTGTGGGCCTTTGCATGTGCTCTGCCCAAAATGTTCTTGCATTCACTCCTGAGATGTTCCCTTCTTCTCTTCCTTTATATCTCAGCTCAGATGTTACCTCTTCAGGGAGACCTTTCTTGACTACTCTTTCTAAAGTGGCTCTCCTCTCACCATGAGATAATTTTGTCACCCTGTGTATTTTCTTTATAACATCTCATAATCTGTAATTACCTCGTTTGTTTTTGTTTACTTGCTTATAGTCTGTCTTCTCCATTAGTGGATAGGCTTCTATGTAGCCACCTTGTCCAATAAGTTCTGAGTTCCCAGCACCTGACACAGTGCCTGGCATGTAGGAGATACTTAATAAATATCTGTTGAATGAATTATGAATGAACAATTATCCACTATATTGTGAGACCTTGAGGGAAGAAACTGTTCACATATATTTCCCCAGTACACAACTTGGCACACAGTAGTGCTTAGTATATGTTGGAATTGAATATATATATATATATATATAATATTTTTTTTTTTTTTAGATAGGGTCTTGTTCTGTTGCCTAGGCTGGTGTGATGCAGTGGCATCATCACAGCTCATTGTTACCTCAAAATCCTGAGCTCAAATGATCCTCCTGCCTCAGCTTCCCAAATAGCTTGGACTACCAAGCTTGTGCCACCATGCTTGGCTAATTTTACAAAAATTTTGTAGATTAAAAAAAAAAAAAAATTTTGTAGAGATGGGAGTTTTGTGATGTTATCCATGCTGGCCTCAACAAATCCTCTTGCCTTGGCCTCCCAAAGTGCAAGGGTTACATGTGTGAACCACTATGCC